ATCAACTAATTATAAAAAGTTACATTGGATCATTAACGTTTATAAAATGCGAATATTGTTTTAGTAGAACTAAAAGAATATTCTAATTAGAATTAAAAGATGATAGATTTGCTTTGGAAATTTAATTTTTAGTGTTAATGCAAGAGATTTAGTTCATAATATATCTTAAGAGGATATATATATATATATATATATATATGAAGTATTTACTGATTTTATTGAATTGAACTTGAATAAATGTGTAAACCCTGTTTTTGAAGGACTCATGACCTTATTAGGGTAAGAGGACTTTGATAAAACCACTCATGATATATTATTGATGAGAAAAAATTAAGCATCATGATTATCATATAACATCTCTCAAGTTATAATAAAATGTGACAAGTTCAAGTCTCCAAATTTTTCTTTTCTCTCTAAACAATTTTGCAAGAATTTGGCATCACTAGACAAAATTCAATTATGATCACATCAAGTTTTCTTGTTGTACATGATCAGATTTGATTATGATTAGGATCACATATCAACTGTTAGAAAAATGGGGTCAAACCCCATGTAAGTAATTTTGAATCAAGTAAAGGTCATAGGCCTTGATCTTTCATTTTACATAGAGCCCTAACTATTTAATAAAAAAAAAGTGAGATTGTCTTAAGGGAGTGTCAAAAACCAAGTAGAAAAAACAGAAAGAAAAAAGAGAAGGAAGAGTTAGTTGAACCGAAGTCGATTCGTGGTCCGATTGAGTTGAAACATTGTCAAGAGGTTTATGATTCAGAGTTCTACATTCTGAACGGTGAAGATCGAGTTTGAAGTTCTCTAGGAACAAATCGAAGGTTTATTTATTGAGTCACTTATTTGGTGAGATTTCTCTAATTGTTTCTCTAGTTATTGTTTAGCTCTAGTTTTAACTAGAGAAGAACTTTGTATACCTATTATTTGATAGTGAAGATTTTTCTGGTGGTCCGTGATTTTTTTCATCTACACTGGAGGGTTTTTCACATAAATCTTGGTGTGCTTTATTTTTCTTATATTTTTTTATTATTGATTATTGTCTATTGCTTCTGTATTGTTATGATTATTGTTTCAGACGTAATATCAACAATCTTAATCTCTTTATATATATATATATATATATATAATTATCATTGCTTAGCTTGAGAAAATCAATTATATCACTGATTAAATTTACACATAATAAAATTTAATTTTTTAAAATTTAATAAAAAGCGAAGAAATAGACCATAATTAAACAACATGAGAATAATGTAACATATATAATTGGGGACCAATAAGCCAATCTTGATTAGTCAAAATGTGTTTGCCAAAATCTATTCCACATGATGTATATATATATTAAAATTTGACTTTTTAGGTGTAAAAGAGAGGACTTTAAGCACATGCTTTTGTCTAGTATATATGAATGTATGATAGAGAAATTCGATCGTCTGAGAGATAAAGTATGGTCCACAGTGAAGAAATTAAAAAGGCAATACAAAGAAAAACGAGAAAAAAAAAATCGTATATAGAAAGTGGTGACATTTCTGAGAAGGAACATGAGCTTTCAAGAAATATCTGAGGCCAGCTATTTTTTTTTTTTTCTTTGGCTAGAAGGCAGGCAGCCAATTAATCCCATCACTTTGACATGCAGATGTCTCTCAATTTAAAGGAAACTTCCGAACCCATAATTGCTACTAAGAGTTGAGACTACCAAAAGTAGAAACGTTTTTGACAAACAATTTTCATTTTTCTGACAATTTTACGAGAGGTTGAGTGAAAAAAAAAAAAAAAAAAGAGGAAATTAGGTATAGATATAATATATTCACGTGCGGATGTGACTCAGCTTCTGCATTTTCACAGTTTTTTGGGTTACAGATGGATGTATGGGTATCCAGAGATTGGAAAAAAAAAAAATAGGCAAAAAATGTCAAACCCTTCACATGTATTGCATTAAATAGGTATTTTTGCATATTTCCAAATTTCAGGCTACACTTGGATTTTCCTAGTCATTGTATACCTACGTACAACAATTACATTCTTTATTAAAAGAGAATAACGATATATATTATATATATAATGTACAGAGAGATAAATAGAGCCTGAAGATGAAGAATGCCATAAGCAAACCTGTGATCCCTATTACTTTTTATATTTTAATCACAAGTAGACTAATAATGAGGTTAAAAAATGAAAGCATGAAACCAATGAAACATGGAGAGTGCTTTTTTCCTGTTAGCTTGCAATTGATGGAACTAGGAGTGCTTTGCCCAACCCCAATTGAAGGAAAAAAATTTTCTTAATTGGTTTTTGGTTTGATATATATTTCAATTTGATTTAATAGTTATGAGTAAAGTGGATAGAATTTCAAGAGTATATCACTTATAATTATTATGAGGCAACTAATGAATTATTATTTAGTATTATATAAAATCTATAAAAAAAATTATGTAGAATCTACAAATGGATGACTAAATAATTCATTAAATAATTATTTATTATGATTGGTTAATTATAAAATAGTAATAAAGATAATTGTAAGTGAAATCTTACTTTTTTTAAAGTTATAATCATAATTAAATATTACATTCATATAATTAATTAAATAATTAATTATTATATCGTAATTACAATAATTAAATAATCAAACAAACTAGATCATAACTAAACAATTGAAAATACAATAAGATTTAAATTTTATATTTTATATTTTGGACGAAAAATTTATTATTCAAATAAAAATTATAATGGATGACGTATCTAAATTTTTAGCTATCTTATAAAAAAATGAATTTGGACAAATATGGATCATAGATTTATCTGAAAGTACATGTATCACCTTAGGATAAAATAGTGAATGTCTCCAATATTATTTTTTAAATATGAAGAGTATTTTTTTAAAAAAATTTAGATTATATAACGGAGAGATTATTTAATTTGATTTCTTAAATCTCAAATTATCCATCTCAAGATTCAAAGTTGATAACTCCGAGATAAAATTTCAAAATTTAAATCTTAATTAGAGTATTCCCTTGAAATATATATATATATATATATATATATTTATCTTGTTTCTTATTATTGATTTAAGAGTGTGCTTTTGCTGACTTCGCATTGGTATTATTATGCTCAACAACTCCAGAACGGTCTGTCACCATTGCTTTAATTCAGGTTTCAACGTCATAGTTAAGGATGATTTTGCCATTGAACAGTATTTTTAGATGGAATTTGATTTTCAGTCCTTCTCGCAGAGCCACTCATCTACTCCATTGATGCTGCCAGGACAGTACTTAAAAGACTTAATTACATTTTTTTCTTAAACTTTAAGAAATATACAAATTGAGACCTAAAATAATAAAATATATAATTTGTACCATAAACTTTCAAATAACATATTTTTAATCTAAATTCTAATATTATTAATTTAATTCACATATATGGTATTTAACTAATATAATTTTATTACATACATGTTATTTATTAAATAAAAATATTAAATATTTTGTAAAAAATTTTATATGGATGTCACGTGATAAAAAAAGATTGTTCGATTATAGATATTTTTTATGATTTAAGTAAATTAAATCACACGTATTTTTTATTTATATTTAAAAAAGATATTGATAGTATATGTGATAAACACATAATTTGATAATATGTCATGTGCAGTATATATAAATTAATATGATTAGTGATATTAAAATTTAAGTTATTATGGTATATAATTTGAAAGTTCAATGTGTAAATTACACATTATTTAAAAGTTCATTATGCAAATTATACATTTTTTTAATATCAATTTATGCATTTTTTTTTTCAAAATTTAGATACCAAAAATGCAATTAGCTCTACTAAAAACTATTGTATTGGACAGGGTGTTTATCACAAAAATAGTAAGTGAAATTTTTTAGTTAAATTTTGAAAAAATCCTAAATGAAATTGAAATAAAAAAAGAATATCCGTCTATTTGTTTTAGAATGTTCAAAAACTACATATCTTCTTTTCTCTTTTGGAAGATATAAAATTAATATTGATTTTTATGTTTTGCTAATACTATTAATTAGCATTCTTTAAGTAAAATTCGTAACTAAAAAGAATTAACTTAAAACTACAATTAATAATCAAAACCAATTTAAATAGATAGAACTTTGTCAATAGATCATGATATGTAAAAATTCAAAGAATTTGGACAAATATTTCATTTTATCTAAATATATTGGTGCTTTAACTAAAAATTGGTTCACCATTTATAAACTAACAATATTTAACTTCTGTAAACAAAATCCTTTTAGTTAATTTTTTTTACATGCATGATATCCATCTTCTCACTAAATTTTATCGATTTATTAGTTTGTTTTAATCATTTTTAGTTAGACACTTCATTTGAATTATATAAAAAAAAAATCAGCTAAGAAATTGTATCTATGGCTTGTCCTCAATCTTTTTAACTTTTTTTTTTTGTATTGAGAGCATAAAAACCATTGCGTATCAATATTATAAAATAATTTCTTTATTTTACTTTAAAACACACAAAAGTTTTTATTTCACACACCATGATACCTTATACAAAAAATTTAAATTAATTTTAAGAAGGTTTAATTTTAATTCTAAGTTTGGAAAAAGAAAAAACCAATTTGCTGCAATTAAGCAATTGATACTAAGTCTGGTAAACCTGCCGACACTACAAAGCTTTTAGACCATAATGCTACATTGTTTTCTTCTTCAACAGTGCCGCTTTTGATAGATATATGAGCATTCATTTGCACCTATAAGTTTGGGGCTTTGGTTATTTCCAATCTTAATTTGATCCATATGGTACCATATAAGATATGAGAAGCGCAAAGATAATGTCCACTTCAACTGTAAAAAAATGTTTACATCTCTATTTAGATTGCAACTTTTTTACTGCTTACCATTTTCCTATAAGTAAATAAGTATTAACCAAAAACAACAAATTCATTCGAACTTACTGGGTCCTTTAAGAATGAGGAATGAAACCCTAATTCTAAGCTTTTTTTAATATATATTCATCTAAAATTTGCACTATAATTAAGGTGCAAAGAAGAACAACAGAAAATTCAAGTTATGTAAAGAAAAGATTTCTAATTTATTTTGATATCCAGTACATATATAGCATAATAATATAGATGTACTTGTAATTTACACTTCTTGCTTCTCCCCATAGAGGGTGTTATCCTTCTGCTTATGGACTAGAAATTAAGAAAAGGTCTAAAAACCCACCTAAAACAAAGAGACCCTGATTATAATAAGTTAATGTTTTTTTGTTCAAAACAACTCAGCACCATCTTCTAAAGACAAGTTAATTAGGTCTTCATGAGCCTGAGCTGAACCATCATCCAACAGCCATTTCTCTATCAATGTGAGAGGGACTTGATCCCCCAAATTGGGCTTGCTTTCATCTTGAAAGACGCTGTTTTCAGGTGTCAAATTGGGGATCTGATCCACCGAGACAGATTCATGAGAAACATTATCTGAATTAGAAGAGTTGAAGCTAAAAAAAGAGTCAAAACCCTCAGCTGTAGTTGCACTGAGTGCACCTTCTTCGCTAGAGATGGAGCCAGCTGTGGTTGTGTTGTTGAAGGAATTCTGAGTCATTGTTTCAGCTGAATTTGTTTGATGAGCAGCCGGTTTTGGTGGATTTTTCATCCAGTTTTGGAGCAACCGGGATATGTTTTCAGCACTTGAGGCGTAAGTAGATGCTTGAGATTGAGATGGTCTCGAGTAAGGGTGAGAGAGGTTTAAGTCCTTTGAGTCTGTTAAAGAGTTTGGTTTATCAAGTGATAAAGCCTCAGAAAGAGCCTGTTTAGCCATCCGAATATCTGTTTGAAGCCTTCTCTCCCACTGTCCCTTAGAGACCGATTGTGAAGAAGAGAACCCATCTTGATTTTGGCCATCAACGCCTGTTTGGAGCTTTTTCAGTTTCTTTTTCAAATGGGTATTCCAATAGTTTTTTATGTCATTATCTGTTCTCTGAGGAAGGTAGGAAGCTATGGCAGCCCATCTGCACCCAAAAACACAACTTTTCAGTATTATCTACTTATTTTCCTCCTTACATCATAAAACAACTTTCTCATCATCTTCAGGGAGAGAGAGAGGAGAGAGAGAGAGAGAGATGATCTTACCTATTGCCTAAAAGAGCTTGGAGATGGATTATCATCTTCTCTTCTTGTTCAGTGAAGTTACCTCGTTTAATACCTGGCCGGAGGTAGTTAGTCCATCTAAGCCTACAGCTCTTGCTGCATCTAAGCAAACCTGAAAAATCAACATAAATAAAAAAAATATATATGTGAATAAAACCAGACCCCTAAAGAAAAGATAAAGAGTTATTATTAAACTTACACATCTATAAAAAAAAAAAAAAGAGTAATGGAAGGATCCAAGATGAAGTATTGTACAATAAAGAAAAGATGTCGGTATATTTATTGCACCTGATTTAATGATCACAACCAATCCAAACAAAAAAGTGAAAATCAGCCAAAAAAGAAAAAAGAAAAAAAAAAAGCACTGGACACAGATTTTAAAAACCAAGAAAAGGGGATTGAACTTAAAAGTAAAAGAAAACTTGTCAGCTGAAAATGGAGAGAACTGATACCTGTATTAGTAGGAACTGATCTCCAATTTCCTGGACCATGTTCTTGAATATAAGAGACCAGTATGATATCCTCTTCAGGAGTCCATGGTCCCTTCTTCACACCGATTTTGTCACAGCAAGGAGGTCTACCCATGTCCACTTTGTTCACTCTGATCACTAACAGACACAGTAGTACTCTAAGAGAAGTTGATGAAGAAGAAGATTTGATTTGATTCTTTTCTCAAAAAAAAAAAAGGGTCTTGAGTGTAATATTTATCTTGATATATAGCTAGAACTTCAGCTCTAGCTAGAGTTTGAAATCTATTTCTAATTGTATATCCTAAGAGAAATGGTGATGAGACAGACAAGCCTCAAAGGCAGGGGTTTGCCTTGTCTATATATAGAGAAGAGACCCCGGAAGGAGGTGTTTACGCTGACCTGAGGAATGAGGTAAAAGGGATTTGCATCCAAAAGAGTCAAAACGGATAGCAAACAGCATTTACTCATTGCTTGCCAAAAGTCAGCTTATGCTTAGACTCTTTCCCTCTCTCTCAATTAAAACCGTGTAGCATTCATTGCGGGGTTTGGTGAAGAGATGGAGGTGGCAGTGGCACCGAAAAGCAGTCCCCTACTTTTATTCACTCTCTTATTTGTTCTCTTTAATGGCTACTTTTCATGAATTACTAAGTGACTAGATCTTCTAGGATAAGTTCATTTTTGTGCCTTTGCATACAAGAGAAAGTTGGCTTTTCATGGAAAACAATCATCCCCTCTCCTAAAACTTTGCGATGTGTGTATCAATAGGAAGGGATGCCCTAAGTAGCCTTCTTATTAATTTGCATATGCATCAATATTTAATAGTAATGGTGAAATCAATTTTTGCATGTTACCCATTATTGTTTATTGATCCTTTTGCATACATATATTGATCCAGCCTTGATTTTATTGCTTGAACTCAAAATGAAAATAATTCTTCAAGGTTTAGAGGCTCTTACTCATCATCCAAAGTAACTATACTAAAAAGGAAAATAGATGCATGCAGCTGAAATTATTAGGCCAGCATTACTTAAATTAATAAAAACACCCCATTTGCAATTGATTGATTCTAATTAATAACTTGTTAAAGTTTCAATAAAAGAGAAAAGCATAATAACGTAAAAGAACAAAAGAAAGTTAAAAATTCGGTTTACTTGGTAGATTGTCCAAAAAAAATTGTCTTTAAGGGAATTTTCCTTTGAAAAGATTTAGACGTTTCATCTTAGAGGCAGGCTTCCAATTTTGAGTTAGACGAAATAGGTTTTATAAGATGACAAAGAGTTAGTTTTCATTTTTATGTTTAAAAAAAAAAGAGAAAAATAAAAGGTATATGTTCATAAGTATAATTGTTATTACTAATAGTACACGAGAATTCATGCAATTATCATTAAAAAATAATATTTAGTAAATTTGAAATTTAAATTTTAATAATTTTAATATTTTTTTCTATTATGCAACAAAAAAAGTTATTTAATAATCTCATGACAAATTGCAAATTGATTTAATAACTTAAATTGAAATCAAGGAAATTAAGAAAGAAAATAACTATATCCGTGCAAACTGCATGCCCTACTCATTTATAAAAGAGAGAAGATCGACGGAAGAAAGGAAGAGTAAGAATAAAATTTCCAAGTTCCACCAGCTAAAAATGACAGCAATTTTTTTTTTTTTTTGTTTTGTTTTGAAAGAGTCTGACCCATTACTATCCCATAAAGAAATATAAAAGAAAAGAAAAGAAAAGAAAGTCAGATTCGTTGAATAAGCAGTAAAAGGATCCAAGTAATCAACATGGCATTGGCAATTTCTTTTAAATCGTTGAATTAAAATGGTTCAAAAATGAATAGATCGATTCGTACAGTCAGTTTTAAAGTATATTTGATTTTTAAATTTCAACGTTTATAATATATATTTTTATTATCTTTAGGTCGTGATCTCTTTTTATATAAAAAAATTGTTGAAAAATTCATCATAGGATTAATTGTTGCTTGACTATAATTATAGTCCTTCTCAAGCAATCAACATCTGCATTATGAAAATTCATATAATTAGTTGTTAGTAACTAAAGGTCAAAAAAGAAGTTTGTAACTGTCGCTAAGGCGACAATCTAATAATAAACCACTCCAATTATCTTTTAAAAAAAAATTTGAGCTTAAATTTCACTTCTCCAACTTAATTAAATGCTAAATAAAGGGAATTTTTTTATACAAGAGAAAGGATATTATAACAAGAATTTAGAATATTTAGCATAACTACACTATTTTTATTACTATAATTAAGCCGAAGTGACTGTTAATTGTTAATAAATAAAAAATTTGTGATAAAAACTTTTGTGTGTACGTGTGTGTATAATTATTTTTTAAAAAAAAATTATATTTTTAATGTTAATCTTTTGAAATATGCATATTATTTCTCGGACCGTCAAATTTAATAACCCTATGAATCTCATGCTTGATTATTTATAAATCCAACCGTCCATAAATAAAGTTTTATATATAAATATATTTATATTTATATATACAAAGCTTGTTAATTTGAACTCTCAAATCTCGTTTATATATGTGAATTATATGAACAAAAGAAAACCTAGGTATGTATAATCACAATGCAATTCCATATTGCAGCTTTGATCAACAATTAATCAATTAATGGGATCTCTCTTAATTTGATTCCAATAATTTCAAAATAACCCATCAAGGACTAAATCAAACTTGTAAAGAAAATATTTGGTTTTTAAATTTTCTAATCGCGATTTTCCTGCTCCTTGATGAAGATTCAAAACAAAGAAAATTAATTTTGTCCCGTTTTGTATCGGCATGGGCATAGGCATAGCATATCCTTTTGCAACATTAATACTTTTGGAAGCTTATTGGCTAAGATAAAGCTTTGTGGTTGATAGAATAAAACCCCTACTTAAATGAATAGCAACTAGCAATAGCAGGCACATCATTTATTTAATTTTCTTTCACATTAATGTCGTTCTTATTTGACGAACACCTTTGCTTCAACGAAAACTTGTTATGACTTTTCCCAACGTTTTTCAAAAACAAAACCAGAAAAAAAAAAAAAAAAAAACCAAAAACCTGTAAGGTTTTCATTTAAAAAATAATACATTAAATAAAATCTTTTTATTTAATTATATTTTTAAGCAATATAATTTACAAGCATCCGTTAATTGGATACATAAAATTTATTTGAAAGTGATCAAGTTAATTAGAAATTAAAAAAAATTTACCGTATTGACTTTTTAACATCCAAATTACAATAAGTTGATAAATCAAGTTTGGATTTGATCGAAGAGTTTTTGAGATGACAATTGAACTGTCATTATTGTGATTGTAAATAGCAAGATTATAAGGATGATTCAGAGAGAAAGAAATGGTGAGATCTGCGCATTGGGCTTGGGCCCTTCATTGAATATGTGGAAAATGATGGAAAATGAGAGCTTAACTTTGCCTCGAAAGGAACCAGCAATTTATGAGAGCTCTGATATTTTATCTCTCAGGCACGCATTTTGCAGACATCCTGTGGAAACAAACAAAATAATAAATCATTTGAATTATAGGGTTGGCATATGATTTAAAATCATTTGAAAACAAATAAAGTCTAAATAATTGACATACAGAGAAAAGTAACAATCTTTTACCTTAAAAAATTAATCTCTCGCTCATCTTTTTATTATAAAGATTTTGTAATCATGATATAATCAAGGTTGTATGATAATTCAAAAATGAAATAATTGTGTTTGAATAATGTAGACACCCAATTTTATCCGGGATTCTTTGTCATTTGAGACTAATCCAAGCTCAGTTGCAGGGATTTTTATTCATTTTTATTTTATATTTTTGTTTATTTCATATTTATCATTTTTTTCATTTTATGATTTATTTTTTTTTTTCTTTCTTTTGATTATCTGATTATTTAAAAAAAAAAAAAAAGAAAGATTGAGATTAAGTTTGATGATGATAAAAAAATTAGGTGCTAATCTTTAGCATTTGATGACTAATGAGAATCAAACTGAAACACAATCACTTGGTTTTATATGCCATTACAATTCACAGCAATAGAAAAAAAAAAAACAAAACAGAAAAAAAGATAGAGGAGGAATCCGGATAGGGGGAGGAAAGATAGAAGAAGAGTCCGAATAGGAGACGAAAAAAAAAAAGGAGAAAAAGATAGAAGGAGAATCCGAATAGGAGAGGGGAGGTCGCAAAAAAAAAGGTCAAACAGAAACTAAGAAAAAGGGATGAGCGAAAAAAAATGAGGAAGAACGGGACGTGAGTTTCCTGGACGAACTTATACAAGTTAAAGAAACTTTTTTTTGGTTCTCCTGCTAACCGAAACAGCCCTCTTTTTTCCTCCTGTTTACCACCTTTGCCACGGCCACCACCACCAATATCGTCACATCATTAATCCCCGTGTTAGGCTTCCTCCCTTTGAAAGTCCCTGAAAACCGTTCGCCCTTTCAGAACCCACCCGTGAAATATTTTGTGGAGTTTGTGTGGCAATGTTCTGGTGCCCCGATTGTTCTTGAACCCAGGTTAGTACTCCAGAACTTAGTGATATCATCAACAACGACCAGATCAGAGTCCAAATAAATGTACTACTCCTTTGACTCCTGTGTGGCTAGTTCACGGTTTTGAAAACGCTAAGAATCTCGAGGTTGAGTGCTTAAAGAAGGAGTTAGGACAAATTTCAAAGCAGCTAGCAGATCTGGAACGAGAGTGTTCATAGTTTAAGAAGGAAAAAAATAAGAAGGAAACAGCTTCTTTGTTATTTGAAGGTTGTAATACATCGAGGCTGATCGGATGTGAGCAGCCTAATAGGAATATTTATGAGTTCACAGCCAACATGGAGTTTAATGGATAAAAATTCCCCTTCAGCCAATCAAACATTGTTTTACGTGGTTATCAGCTGAAGAACATGGATTGGATATTAGGCGTGGTGGTTTATGCTGAGCAGGAAACAAAAGCAATGCTAAACAGTGCAGTTTCTCCTTCAAAGCGAAGCAAGTCAATGGAACGACTTTGAAACATCGGAATCTCCGCTCACATCGACTCGGGCAAGACCACGCTAACGGAGTGGATTCTCTATTATACGGGTCGGATCCATGACATCCATGAAGTTCGTGGCAAAGACGGCGTCAGAGCAGTGATGGACTCCATGGATTCAGAAAGAGAGAAAGGAATTACTATCCAATCTGCTGTCCCGTGTTGCACCTGGAAAGATTATCAGATTAATATAATTGATACGCCTGGTCATGTTGATTTTACGATTGAAGTGGAGAGGGCGCTGCATATTCTTGACGGTGCCATTTGGGTTCTGTGTAGTGTTGGTGGTGTACAAAGTCAGTCAATTACTGTTGATCGACAAATGAGAAGATATGAGGTTTCGAGACTCACCTTTATTAACAAACTCGATCGAATGGGAGCTGATCCATGGAAAGTTCTCAACCAGCGGAGAAAAAGTTGATGCTGAAAAAGTACCAACAGAAATGGAAGCCACAGTTGCAGAAAAAAGATGGGAACTGATTGAAATGGTTTCTGAAGTGGATGATAAACTTGCTGAAGCATTTCTAAATGTTTTCTGAAAACAGTCAGTTGCTGCCACCCTTTGGTCAGAAGGATGTGGAGACTGTTCGTGTGTCATCTCCAGAATTGACGTTAGCACCAGACATCTCTGCATTTATTCGAAGAGGGGTAGCTGCCTATCCTATGTTTGTGATGATAGAGAGAAAAATACAGTTAGCAAAAACAGCTTCAAGACAGGCTCACCCAAGACCTTAAACCCGAGCCATTCGCTAATCGAAATCAAAGCCTTGAGTTGGAATCCATTCAAGAAACAATCTAGGCCTGATTCAGAAAGTTGACTTAAATTGATTTTGATTCGGGATTAAGCTCAATTTTTGGTAAGATATTTTCTTTCCCGTTTTGAATTGTTTTGGCTGTAGCATGTCATTTATTCACTCATTTTATTTTATGTTTTCATGATTTAAAAACATTGGTTAATAATAAAAATAATAATTTCAAAAAAAAAAAGATTTTTGAGGAAAAGTTGAAAGTATCAATTTTCCTTGGAAATCAAAGTTTCAAAAAAAATATATATTTTTGAGAAAAAGTTGAAAGTATCAATTTTCCTTGAAAATCAAAATTTTCAAAAAAATATTTTGAGGAAAAGTTGAAAGTATCAATTTTCCTTAAAAATAAATTTTCAAAAAAAAAATTTTTGAGGAAAAGTTGAAAGTATCAATTTTCCTTGGAAATCAAAGTTTCAAAAAAAAAAATATTTTTGAGGAAAAGTTGAAAGTATCAATTTTCCTTAAAAATAAATTTTCAAAAAAATATTTTTGGGGAAAAGTTGAAAGTATCAATTTTCCCTACACAAAAACAATCAATTCTTTCCTTCCTTTCTATTTTGATTTTTATTTTAATTTTTCTTTAACTAATCCGACGACGGAGCCTCTGCAAGTGAAACAGTAGTTTTTCTTGCATACTTTTGAGGTGAGGGAATTTTCTCAATTTTCTGCTAAAAGTATTAGAGTCAATTGAGAAAAATTTTCAATAATTAATTACTTGGTAAAATTTTAAGGCTTTTGGATAACACAAATTTAAGCTGGTACCATCTTTTGATGGGCGTTGTGAGGGTGCTATAACCTTCCTCACACGTAACCGAACTCCCGAACCCTGTTCTGGTTTGTAGACCTGAACCTATTCTTTTAGGGACCCTTAAACTTAGGTGTTCCCTGAAAGGACAGATTCTTTAGGTGGCCAATCGCACCTAGACAAAAAAGATTGGTGGCGACTCCCTAAAGTCAATGTCTAGCGATAGATCCCCGGATCTAGACGTTACGACAAATAATACGAATAAAACATATAAATTTTTATTTTTATTTTATTTATTTATTTGATCTTTGAAGTTACAATTAAGATTCAATTCTGGATCTTTAGGCACAATCAATTCAAAGTTTTGTAGATTTTAATTCTTGATAAGTAAGTTTGTATACTTATAAAAAGATGAAGTTTCTGTAGGGTTAAGTATAAAAAAAAGATGTAAAAAAGTTATAAAATGTATTAGATAGACACTCCATAGGACTGCAAAATATTTACATCTCTATAGTTGTGTATATTTGTGAATGGACTAAAGAAAATTGAAATTGTCCATATAAGTATGATGCTTGAGTACACATATATGTGTTAATATTTATTTGGATTAAGAATACTCTGTAAGACTAGAGAATCATGAGAGGGTTAATGGGCATTATTTGGGATTGAGTATTTGATGATTGTATATTTGTGATTATTTACAACTAGTGAATCATTTTTTCTTATCATGGACATAAGTTGGTTCGGCTGAATCACGTTAAATTATTATTTTTTGTGTGGTTCATTGATTGTTTGGCTTAATTTCCACTGACTTGAATGTTTAATTGATTCCCAATATACAATTTCTTTATTTTTGACCTAACAAGTGACATCAAAATTGTCGGAATCTTAACAAGTGGTATCAGAGATAAAGATTTGAGACGTGAGAAGAGTGTAAGCTTAGAGAAGCTTGATTTAATTGAAGAGATTGAGTGTGTATTTTAAGGATCGGAAGTGACTTAAATCTCATAAAAGATTCGTTTGATATTACCAAAATATTGCATGATGGATAAGAAGACTTGCATAAAAAAATTAAAAAAAAAAGATTTTTGATAGGTAAGTTTATATGTTTATAAATATGAAAAGTCTTTATAGGGTTAGGTAAGAGAAAAAGATTTAAAAAAGTTATAAGATTTTATGGGATAGACAACCCAAAGGATTACAAGAGATTAACATTTTTATGGGTGCGTATGTTTAAGTAGATTAGATGAGAATGAAATGATCTCAATAGGTTTGGTGCATGGGTGCACATAAGTATATGTTTATTTGGATTAAGAACATTATATAGGACTAGAGAAGATTGAAAAAATTTATGGATATTAATTATGAGTAAATTTAATTTGTTTTGATGTAATTTTTAACAACTAGTTGATTTTTTTCTCATCCGTGGACGTAAGTTGATTAGGTCGAACCACATTAAATTGTTGTTTCTTGTGTAATCGATTGATTGTTTGATTATACTTTCATCGGTTTGGATGTTTAATTAATTGAGACTTTTTTGCCTAACAAATAGTATCAAATCAAAATGTTTGAGATGTGTGAAGAGGCAAATCCAAAAAAGCTCGATTCAATAAAAGAGTTTGAATTCATATTTTGAAAATTGATTTGCATGAAATGTGAAGACACATAGAGAAAATTGTTATAAGATTTCTATTGTAGGTGGAGTCAAGCATGTCTAGCATGAAAATTAATGATTTGATGAAATTTGAGTTAAGGTGTAGATTGTTGGGAATAGCAACTCAAATTTCATAAAAGATTTATTCGAGATTGGTAAGATATTGCTTGATAAATAAGAAGACTTGTGAGAAGAAGAATTATAAAGAGAAATGAATTTTTAATAAGCAAGTTTATATGCTTATAAATAAGTGGAGTATTTACAAAATTAGGTAAAAAAAATATGTAAGATATAGTTATATGATTTTATTAAATAGACACCCCATAGGACTATACTAACATTGTTATAGGTGTGTATGTTTAAGTAGGCTAGAGTAGAATGAGATAAACCACATGAGTATGATGCATGGGTGCACATGAGTATATATTTTTTTAGTTAAGAATATTTCATAAGACTAGAGGAGATTGTGAGGGTCTATGGGTATTAATTGTGAGTTAGTTTGATTTGTTTTGATATAATTCTTTATAACTAGTGAATTTTTTTTCATTTGTAGACGTAGGTTAATTGGGCCAAACCATATTAAATTTATGTATCTTATGTGATTGATTGATTATTTAATTATATTTAAGCTGACTTAGATATTTAATTGATTGGAGTTTTTTGTCCAACATTTTCGACATGTCAATTAGGTTAAGGATGACTGCTTAGTTAATAATTTCTCTTAAGAAATCACTTAGAATAATCTAGGTAGAGACAATTAAAAAATTGATTGGAACAACACTAGATGTTTGGCAACAAGGAAGAAAATATATAAAAATAATGTTCATCAATTTTAAAAAAATTGAGATAACGTTGTCCATGCACGTCAATGACCTTTGCTAATTACTGAAAAATACTTTTGAAAATCCCATGTATACGTAAAATCATAATCTGAATTCATATCAATATTGGACCATATTTTTTAAATGTCCATTGACAATATAAACATTAGTTAAAAACTACAAAAAATAAATCATCTTTAACACAATGAAGTTTTGGTTTAGTGCAAAGGAATATGTCTTAGAACTCTTTAGTTTAAGGTTTCAAGTCTTACTATGTGTGGATTTGATTCAATTTTATGCTGAATTTGTTTAATTATGCTATAGTTTGTTATTCAACTTTATGTTGAATTTGTCTAATTATATTTTAGTTTTTTATTTGATTATTCAATGATTTCTATATGAATGTATTACTTAATTATACTTCTAACTTCTCTTATACTTATAGTTTTTTCAAAAAAAACATTCATCTTTAGCAACAAATTTACATTTTGAAGTGTACTGTAAATTATTTCATTTTTCAATAAAAAAAAAAGTGTTACTATGTTGTAAATAAATTCAAAAACTACATTTTGCAATAAGAACACATCTTATTGTCAAATATGAAACTTTTGCAATAGTTTGCAACGTAATATGAAACTTTTATTAGGAAATATTATATTTCTTGTAATGATTATTATTAAGCATCAAACTTAAAATCAATTGATAATATGTAGAAGGGTCCAATTTGAATATAAGACTATACGAACTTAGATATGGGATAAAATCACTTTAACAATTATAACTTATCATCCAAAAGCACACCTTGATTTTGTTTTGTGAAAAACTCTTCCTATTGTATATAATTATCTGCCAAAAAAAAAAGTTAGAGAACTAGTAATTGGTAAATAAGTTCATCTAATAAGAATCTACTCAATATTTTTTCTTTATTATAGTCTTCATATAGGACATTTAATCTAAATAGCCTGTGGGATAATTAAATATTATTGAATTAAATTTAAAAAAAGTACAGTGAAGAAACTATAATCCTTTATATTATCTCTCTTTATACCTCATGGCATAATTAACTGTTCAAGTTAATATATCTCAATATTCGCCATTTGGGTTTCGGTTCAAAGTGATGATAAGATGAGATGACTTCGAACAAAAGGATAAATCTGGCTTTTGGTGCTTCATTAATTGTAATAATGTAGTAACCAAATAATGTACATATTTAATTTAGTTATTTGTAACCTAATAAATTTGGCTTTTAGCTTTTGGTGCTTTAAAAAATTCCATTGAATCTTTTATATAGCAACCAATAATTTTTATTTTTAGTTATTTTTTAATTTGATTTAGTTTTTCAATCACTGTTAATAATAAAAGTGTATTATTTTTACTTTAGGTATTGTCTTTCTTTTGTTTATTTTTTTCAACCAATAAATGTTTTTACTTTATCGTATTTAGTATTACTTCTCTTTTGTTTATTTGTTATAGGTATTCGATTAAACTCAATTGATAATTTACTCATTTTTAATGATCTTAAGTCATTTACTCTTTTATTGGCTTGAATGTCATACTAGCATGAATCTCTCTTTGATTTTAAAATATTGTATCTAAATTTTTCATAATACAACAAAATAAAAATCTTACATTCCATGAAACAGAGAAGAAAACATAAAAGTTTTTTACTTTCACTTTACGATTTTTCCTTTTATTTATAGTTTTTTTTTAATATCATGTCTATTTACGTTTAATATATGCAGTTTTATTCTATTATATATATTATGTTTAATTTGCTTAGCATGAAACAACAGTAATTTTTTTTTTTGGTAAATACCATAAATTTTAAATTAAGATGTTACTTGCTTTCACTTATGCCATGAATGGGTGCCTTTTGTCAATAATTTTGTCATGATCAATTATTTAGTCATGGTTAATTCAATTGCTATTGAATAA